AAAAAGAAAAAAAAAACCACCAAGGCATATCATAGCCAAATATGCCAGAATCAAAGATAAGGAGAGAATTGTGAAAGCTAGGGTGAAACAAAGAGTAACTTATAAGGGAGAGCATGAGCGAAGACGAGATGAGTTGTGGGAGGATATCGAGGGTACCATCCAGGAAGTGTGCAAACGGTCATTGCAAAGACAGAAGAGGAAGAGAAGACCAAAATGGGTGTCAGAAGAGACTCTGAAAATTGCACTGGAGCACAGAGAAACCAAAGCAGAAAGAAGAATTCAAGATACTAAAGAGCTGAATAGAAGATTTCAAAAGGCAGCATGGGATGACAAAGAAAAATATTAAAATGAAATGTGCAAGGAGCTGGAGTCAGAAAATCAAAAGGGCCGAACTTGCTCACCATTTCTTAAGCTAAAGGAACTGAAGAACAAATTCAAACGTTGAGTTGCTATAATCAAGGATGCTTTAGGCATCCTTTAGGCATTAAATGATCCAGAAAGTATTAAAAGAAGATGGAAAGTATTTACTGAGTCACTGTATTGAAAGAAATTGACAGACACAGAAGAATTTCATGAAACAACATATGAGCAAGAGCCTATGGTGATGAAGGAAGAAGTTCAAGCTGCTTTGAAGGAAATGGCAAAAACTAAGGCCCCAGGAATAGATGGTATGCCAATTGACATATTTCAGCTACCAGATGCTGCCCTGGATGTGCTCACCAAGTTGTGTCAAGAAATCTGGAGAACAACCACTTGGCCAACTGACTGGAAGAGATCTATCTATATTTGTTCCCATCCCAAAGAAGGGTGACCCAACAGAGGGTAGAAACTACAGAACAATATCATTGATTTCACATGCAAGCAAGATTCTACTGTAGATTATCCAAAAACGACTGGAACAGCACATCAGCAGAGAACTGCCAGAAGTCCAGGCTGGGTTTAGAAGGGGTCGTGGTACTAGGGATATTGTAGCTGATGTCCAATGGATCTTAGTTGAAAGCAGGGAATACCAGAGGAATGTCTATCTGTGTTTCACTGACTATGCAAAGGCATTTGACTGTGTGGATCATAACAAACTGTGGCTGACTCTGAGAAGAATGGGAATCCCAGAACACTTGATCATGCTAATAAGAAACCTACACTTGGACCAAAAAGCAGTCGTCAGAACAGAGCAAGGAAACATTGCATGGTTCAGAACTGGGAAGGGCGTATGCCAGGGCTGTGTCCTGTCTCCATACATTTTCAACCTGTATGCAGAACAGATTATTCGGGAGGCGGGGCTCTGAGGAGAAATGCGGCATCAGGATTGGTGGAAGATCTATTAACAATCTGTGTTATGCAGATGACATAACCCTGCTTGCTGAAACTGAGGAGGACGTGAAGCGCTTGCTGCAGAGGCTCAAGGACTGCAGCCTTGGATTGAGGCTCAATGTCAAGAAGACAAAGATTCTCACCACTGGACCAATTGGCAGTATAAGCATGGATGGTGAAGAGATTGAGATTGTTCACAGCTTTAGTTTGCTTGGCTCCACAGTCAACATTCTTAGCACCAGTAGCCAGGAAATTAAAAGACGTATTGCGATGGGAACGTCTGCTGGTAGAGACTTCTCCAAAGTACTGAAGAGCAATGGTGTCTCTCTGCAGACTAAGGTGCATCTTATATAGGCCATGGTCTTTGCTATCACTTCTTATGCATCAGAGAGTTGGACAATGACTAAGGAGGATAGAAGGAGATTTGATGCCTTTGAGCTATGGTGCTGGAGAAGAGTATTGAGGGTACCATGGACTGCTAGGAAAACAAACAGATTCATCCTGGAAAGGGCTAAACCAGGCGGCTCCTCAGAGATAAGGATTCTGAGGCTCCCACTGACATACTCTGGACATGTTGTAAGGAGGGACTGGTCCTTGAAGAGAGACATCATGCCTGGGAGGGTGGAGGGACAGCACAGGAGGGGAAGGTCCTCTATGAGGTAGATTGATTCAGTGACTGGGGTAATTGGGATAGGTGTGTCAGAGATAATGAGATTGGCACAGGACAGAGCAGAGTTTAGGGCTGTTGTACATAGGGTCCCTATGAGTCGCAAGTGACTCGAGGCACATAACAACAACAACAACAACAACAACAACAACAACAACCAATTTCTCTTAGCAGAAACTATGTAAGAAGACAGTGGAATGATATATGGCAAACACTCAAAAGAATACAACTGTCAATCAAGAATTCTGTACCCAGCGAAAATGAAGGAGAGACCAAGATATTCTCAGGAAAGATGAACTTAAGGGAGTTTGTAAAAATAAGACCAGCAGTGCAGAATGAAGAGAGAGAGAGAGAGAGAGAGAGAGAGAGAGAGAGAGAGAGAGAGAAAGAATATCCCCAGAGTCACTTAACCAGGACCAGCAGTGCAGGAAACAGTTTGAGAGGTGCT